TTCTGATTATTATGGTAAACTTGGCTGAAAACCATGAGCAATATTAATGCCACACCCTTAATGCTGTGCTGTCTAGAAATTTCCTCCAACCAGATTAATTAGGCCATTGTATTTAAATTCAGCTTCACAGAATGTCTCCAGACATGGGCATAATGTGAAGAACTTCTTTGCCAGAATGTGACATGAATTGCCTCTTGTCCAGTTTCCAATAGTGTGCTACTTCTCCTCTGAAACTTGGTGGTCCCAGTCTACTGTCCACAGTCCTGTTGGCATTCTGGTATTATAAGCTCCCACCTGAATCACCAGTTAAGCAAAATGTACAACACTCTATAGCTTTTCCAGCTTGCATATTTAACCTTTTCAAAATTCCTGCCCCAGTTTCTGAACCACTTGGTCAGGTTAGTCACAGCAACAACCCTACTCCTGGTACCAGTTTCTATTTTAGTAAGTTTTTGTGTGACCAAAAGACCTGATAAGAACAACTTCAAGGAGGGAAACTTGGTTTTAGTTCACAGTTTCAAAGAGAGGAGAATATACTGTAGTGTATTCATTTATGTGCATAGCATAAATGAATACACCACAATGAATTTCACCTTCATGTATATCTACAAAGCACTAATTTTTAAAAAGAAAAAAACATTTTTAAGATATACATTTCATTTCAAATGTTATTTCATCTTTCAGAGAGGAGAGATATGGGGAGATGGCCAGCGTCTCGGGTGTTCTTCCTGACGAGGAGGTGTAAGCCACCTGAGAAATTAAAGTCTAGAATAATTAGTAAAGAACCAAAAACAAGTAATCAGAAAGATATTTTCAAAAGTGGAGCCCTTGATAGGGTTAGTCCACATGGGTGGAGCTGGACAAAACATGGCAGTTTATTTAAGGGGGTACATTAAAAGGCAGAGATAAGGTTTCAAGGGCAGAGTCTTGCTTGTGATGTCTTGCAGCCAGCAGGTTGATTGGCATCTTGGCAGGTCACACCCATCTCCAGTGCTGTGTGGGACATGGCAGAGTGGCATAGGAATTCACAATGTCTCTGGGCAGTCTTACACGGAGGAAACGTCCACTGGAAGTTCCCAGACACCAGATGTTCCTATTCACTAGGCTGCGATGCTGACAAAGTCCACACATAGCTCAAGGACGGCTCACAATACAGAGAAAGAGAGAGCACACTCTGCTCACCAGAGACAAAATCTAAACCCCAGGGTCATGCCCCAGTGACCTACTTTCTCTAGCCACACCCTGCCTGCCTATAGTTACCCCCACCTGTTCTGTTCAAGTAGATCCAACAGCTGATTCATCTCACAATCTAATCTTTCGCCTCTGAAGATTCTTTAGTCTTTTCACACATGAGCTTTTGTGGACACTTCATATTCAAATCATAACAGGCACCTTTCTCCACAATGTGGTTAAGAATGCTTCACAATGTCCACGGTCTGGACTATGAGTCCACTCACCATAATGTAGAAGAATCCTAACATCATTTATTAGTTTGTATATTTGTTTCTTTCTTTATTCATATTTTAATCTTTCTTTATTCATATTTTAATTGGGAACAACTTGGAAATTATGGAACATAAATAAATGAATGCCACAATGAATTTCACCTTCGTGTATATCTACAAAGCACTAATTTTAAAAAAGGGAAAACGTTTTTAAGATATACATTTCATTTCAAATGTTATTTCATAGTTTTGATAGCACTTTTATGTTCAATATCTCCTTGAAAAATCTTTATCAAGGTAGGCAAGTTTTGTTAATAAGTTAATAGGTAATGGTGCCAGGTTTGGATGTTGGATTTCTGACCCAAAAGCCACCATGCTTTTTTCTACACTCCAGATTGATCAAACTGAATGCAAAAGTCAGTAATATGAATTTCCATGTTCATGGAATCCAGAAATACATGGGCATACATAATTAAAGTAACTAAGACTTTTAACTTTAGGAGTGCTCTTTCTTTGAGCACTGAAAGAGAAGATGAAAGAATGATCTGAGAATCATCTACAAAACAAATTCTAGGATCATTGGCCTTAGTAACCTTCTCAAAGATGAGCTACTAATGTAAGATTTTACAAGAAATGAAATAGAAATCAATTATAATTATTTTTATAATTCTAATTCTTTAGTGAATTCAAGTCAATTAAGTGCAAGTTATAAATAGCAAACTCTAAAATTGTATGATATATGCTTAGTTGTCTAGTATCCTGAACATATCTTAGAAGAATTAATACTTAAAAGCCAATGTATAGACAAAGAACACACATCAACTGTTTTATTCACATATTATCTCTGTTGAAGAGTTGTTTCACTAGACACACCTACACATGTGCTAGTGACTGGTATCCCAGTTTCCCAGGGACTCAGGGATTCATGGGACATGAGGACTTTGATAAAGCTGGAACAGCCCCAAGAAAACCAGGACAGTTGGTCCCCCTACTCCACACAAGTGATGCTTTACATGTATGATGTATTACCTATTAGTCACACACACATTATTTCCTCCTAATAGTCTGGTCCTGAAGAATTATTTCACTATGCTATGATAGGGCGATGGCTCCAGTAACTAACCAGGAATGAAATTGTGTGCCAGTGTGTAAACTAAGCTAGTGAGCTGATATTTCTTTTTAGATATTTTTTCTCAGGTTTACAAAATTCTTTACTTCTTCCTTTTGCTGACACCTCTGAATTCTAAATTCATTTAGTGCTAATAGTTAAGAAAATAAAAGTCCTGTATCCAACTTCCTGAAAATTACAATGTATCTTTTGAGTGTAGGCTGTGGATATTACAGAGAGATTAAGATGCATGGTCTTTTTAATTTAAAAAGTTACTGATCAGGATTAGATGGGGTAATATACTAAATGGATTAAGAAGATAAAAGTGTGTTTTTCTCTTATGTAAAGAAGTCAGGGGTAGATGGCCCAGGACAGGCTAGCTGGCTTCATGATCATGAGAAACCCAGGCGTCTGTATTGTTCTATGAAGTCTCATGGTCTGAAATGGTTACTGAAATTCCAGCCATCATTACTACATTCTAATCAGACAGAAGGAAGAAGAAGAAAATCATATGTAGCATTCAAGAATGGTCAGAACTTAGACATATCCATATCCAGCTACAGGTAATGCTGGAAAATGTTGACTTTAGTGGCCATATGTGCCACTAAAACTAGAATTCTATTACTTAGGAAAAGAGGTAAATTGGGTATCAGAGAACAATGAGAAGTCCTGGGCGCATATTTCCAGACTCGATGCTATAGCAGTTTCTGTTTTCATGACTCAAGGATTACTTTATTTTCTTCTTTGCCCCAAACATACAGTTACTATAAGAAGTTAAAAGGCCCTTGCTTTTACTTTTGTTAGCCTACGAGTGCACATTTGTCTGGTCCACATCAACTGGGGTCTCTTAATAAACAGGTCTGTCTAATCCAGGAGGAAATGTGTAAGGGAGTTGCAGCCGAGCCCAACTCTGCCTGAATCTGGGTGGGTTTCATTCTCCCCACTGAGAGCTCAGGTCATACAGACAATAGCAAGACAGGGCCTCAAGTGGCAGGGCCTACGTCAATGATGTGATTTCCCAGGGTCTGAGACTGGCCTCTCAGCTCATAACTGCAAGTAATTTTCTTAGAGACTCATCAGCCTGGTTTTGTGAGTCTCAAGAGCGAAATGAAACTGTAATGATATCATGAACATCCTCAAAAATAATTAGATTTGAGGGAGTTTCATTGCCTAAAGGCACAAAGAGTCCAACCCCCACCCCCTTTCCTGAGAAGGTCCAGGAGAGATAGGTAACTTGTCAGAGGACACTCAGCTAGTTATAAAATTACCTCTGGCCTTATTTGCAAATCTACATGCAGGAAATGATCTGCATCTGTTCCAGCCTCATCTTCATCAGGCCTGTGGTTCACCTACTTCAGGAGCAGCTTTTTAACACTAGCCCCTGCATGGGTCCACAGGAAGATACCAGTGCCCCTGGATGGGACCAGGTTGGGCCAACCTCTCCCTTGGGCACTGGAATTATTGCTCGGTTCCCAGATTTCTAGTTCTCCCCAGTGACCACAGCTTGCAGGTACACGCTGTCTCTGGGGAACTCAGATAATGCATGTTTGTTCTGTGTTTAAACAGTGGGAAAATTGTATATGCTCATGGAATCATCAAATTGGAAGAGACCTTGAGATCATGTTTCCTCAATTCCTTGACTTCTCAGGGGAGAAAACTAACCTCCAGCAAGATGAGGACCTTGACTCAGCCAAGATCCTGTTTCTTACTTAGGATTTAGGGGAAACCCAAATTAATTAATAATTGCTATTTACATAATCAGTCTCTGAAAACTAATTGCCTACTTTAGATGAAAAGGGAAAAGTGAGGTTCTTCAAAGCCTGCCTCACACTTAGAATCAGAGGCCAGAAGCTAGTTTTACAAAACATTTTATTAACAGCAGAGCTTTACAAAAATAAAATTAATACAAACCATTTTACAATATAATTTACACAACTATCCTCTTAAAAAAGGGATGTTTGACCATAACACATAAACTACATTCGTATTCGTTAAGTCACTTTGTGGTATAAATACGTTTTTATCATAATTTTCTGTAGCAAAAGTACATACCAAGAAGAATGAACAGTGGACAACAAATCCTGTTTTGTAATTCTTCCAATGCAAAATTCGTCTCTGGCCAAAAATAAATTAACCAAAGCAAAGCAGAACAGTCGTCCCTCTGTTCAACATGCACAGTTCTTTTCAATTATTTGGAGTTTATCTGACAGCGACGCCGCATTAATCTGAAACCGCGTGGCACCGAGTCTGGTAACAGAACCCCGAAGCCTTCTCCAGTGTCTCCCTTCCGCTGTTTACTCTGGATTGTGCCAAGGTAAATACGGGCCCAAAATGACTCTGGCAGTCGTGGGTCTCAAGTGTCCTCGTTGTGCACCGAACTTTGGAGCCTCCTGGAGGCTGGCGGCGTGTCAGCCAGGATGACCTTGGCTCCAGAGCCTGCGCAAGGCCTAGGAGACGTACTGCGCCCCGCCATGCGGCTGGACCTCGGTGACGCCCCACCCGACCACGTTACCCCGGCGGCTGCAGGACTCGGGCCCCGCGGCCTCGGCCACCTCCTCCGGGCGCAGCGCGCGGTCCCACAAGTTCAAGGCCGTCGCTCTGCCCGCAAAGGCCCGGGCCTCGTCGAAGCCGCCGGCACAGCAGCCGTTCTTCTCCTGGCCCAGCTGCAGCGCGCCGCCCTCGGGGACCACGTGGCCCCTGGCCTTCCCCGCCGCAGCTGCCACCAGCTCGCCGTCCACCCACAGTGACGCGCGTCCATCTGCGGAAGTCCAGGTGCCGCACAGGTGGGTCCACCTGCCCGGGGAGACCGCGGTGTCGGCCACCAGCGTGTTCTCCTCTCCGCCCACCACAAACGCTGTGGACCCAGGGCTGAGGTACAGCTGGATCTCGTAGGGACTCCTCTTGGTGCCGTAGGAGAACAGCACGGTCTTGTTCAGTACCTCTGTGGCTTTGACCCAGATGCACACACTGAGGGACTCGAGCGTCATGGGTCTCACGGGGTGCACGCTTCCAAAGATCTTCTTGGAACGCATGGGGAATAAAAGCGCCGTTTCACAGCCTAGAGCAGCAAGAAGTTAGGAATAGGAAAAAAAAAAAAAAAACCTCAGAACTAGGCTGCATTTAGTTATTTTAACACAGGCACGTTAATAACTATAATTGACAACTATATGCAGTGTTATATTATCACTTAAGGGGCCTCCCGTCTAATCTCTGTAGAGCAAAGAAAATGAAAAGAAAGTCATCTGTCTTACTCAATGAAGCATCTGGATAGAGAAGTGAACACCCGGATAGGCCACCCAGTCCAAACCCAGTAATATCGATCTCCCCTCCCACTTAACTTTTTTTTTTACTGTTGAATCACCATGAGCCAACTTCAGACAATGAGCCTATAATTCCCAGGGGTTCAGAGCTCAACTGACTTCCCTCTTCTTGACTTCTCTAGCCTCCTAAAATAATAAACTCGTGAAACCCAGTGGACCTGCCTCATTGTATGTGGCTGTTCTCCACGTCTTTTCCAACAAAATTGTAGCACAATGATGTTATTGGAGAATACATTTTAATATACCATATGTTCTCAGATGTTTGAAGTTGTGAACTTTTAAAAGTTTTCAGAAAAATAATCTTTGAAAGCAACAATGTATAATAATGATGACTAATCAGTATTCATTCTGGGCACCAGATACTGTGCTAATCCATTGGTGTGTTATTTTAATCCGTCCTCACACCAACCCTAAAAAATAGACTTTTTATTCCCATTTTACATATGAGAAAATGAGGCAAAAAGAACTTGTCTGTGCTTCCATAGTTGACACATTTTAAAACTGGAATTTTAACTTAGGCAGTCTGGTTAGAGAAGCCACACCTTAAACATACTGCTTCCAAATAATAAAATCCTTGGTTTGGGCTAGGAAGCTGGAATTCAATTTATTTTGCTGCTCATGAGTACTATGCAGCTTTTGATGAGTCCCATCATCTCCGCAGGCCTCACTGTTATCTATAAAAAGCCCTTCTATTTCCCAAGTCTGTAAGCCACAAGTAGACAGCACTCAAGAAGAACTGGGTAGTCCAAGGACATGCTTAAAAATTCCTACTTTGTTCACATCCTTATAAATATTAGTTGAGTGGTAACAGAAAAGCTTAAGAGGAATTAATTCTTCCAAGGGTCCTGGTTTGAGAACATATTTCTGCTAAGGAAGACTTCTGAGGAGAGGACTTTCAAACTTGGGGTGAGAGTTCATGAACTCCCACCTCTGTCCTTCTCAAGGCCACAGGAGCATCCAGGAGCTGGGGATGCTACAGGGAAGACCTTCCAGGGTCTTTTGGAAATGATGATATTGAAATTTTAACAGGTGGGCTCTCTGTGTGAAAAAGAATTTTTTAAAAACTAAATTAGAGCCAGACATTCACTTTATAACAAGCTAAAGGTGTGCTCTAAGATGGTTTTGAAAGTAGACTCCCAGAACATTTCAACACTAACTGGTGAATAGGAAGAACTTGCAGGAACCAAACACCCATGCAAGGGGTTGTAAACTGTGCTCAACTCCTACAAATGGCTGTGAGCTGGCTTTGTCCTGAAAAGATTAAGCACATGTGGACTTAAACTTTTTGTGATGGTCAAAAGAAAGCCTGAAGTTCAGGAAATCATATAAAAGTAACTACAATATTAATTCACAAAACTGATTCTGGTACTCTGGAAAATGCAATCTGTTCCCTGAAAAAGTTAATGCCAAGGTTTTAAAAATTAATTTTTAAAATGAAATTACTAAGTCTGAATTTTTTCTAGATGCAGGCATTAATTAAAAAATAAAGTTCATAGAACAAAAGATTACCCTATCCCAGGGCATGGGAGATATTCTGGTCTGTTAAATTTTAGTCAAGTGGTGTTCAAGAGAGTGCCTACTGCAATCTAATTAACTGACTTCCTGTTTAAATAAGCCCAGGCGGTCAGGATCGCATTCCAGAGCATTCCTGGCTGTGTCTGGGAGACCCTGCTTCTCTCTAGGCTGTGCTGCTATATGCCTTCATAGAGTGGAGCTATGTGTTGGCTTTTTTTTTTTTTTTTTTTTTTTTTGGTGGGCTTCCTTTAGGGGCCAGTGACTGAGGTTCTTTATGCCTCTTTAAAATGTCAGAAACTCTCTCATGAAATGGCTTTTAACTAAGATGTTTTCCTAATTATATTAACAAAGACCAAACAAAATTAAAACCAGCTTCTTAGAAAGCTGACAACAGAAAGATTAGGAATCCCTTAGGATCTGAACTGGCAGGAGACCAGAGGACAAATTAAAGCTTTTGGGTAAAAGTATTATTGAATGTAGTAAGAATTGACATTTAGAATTCATAAGTATATCCCTCTTCTGCTGTAACTAATATGCAAAAGTGAAGAAGAAAATTAGGGCAGCTCTTCTGTTTTTTGTGTACATTTTGTGTACACTGGCTTTATGTGGTTTGCAAAGCACAGAAATTTCATGCATTAACATAGAGAAATTATCATTTGTCTCCTCTCACATGAAGGCTGTATTTTATATTCAACTCTATGTTTTGTCTCCTCTGAAGCCCTATTTAATATTTAAGAAAATATGCCCTGTACTGCTAAACAGTCCTCTGATACTTGGCAAAGATCTACATTCTGGCATGGTTTCCAAGAGTTTAAAGGAACCACGCTCTCACACATGCTATAACTCCTTGCCTTATCTGGTAGAAGTTGTTTTATTGGAAATGATGGGAAGGATGGCATTGTTTGTTTTTGTTTCTGGAGATTCTTATAAAAAGTTTGATATATTTTCTGACATGACACGAATTTTCTGAAACAATCCCAAATGATTATTACCTCACCATTTCTTAGAAATTTTGACTAAGAAAGAGTATTACTTAGCTCCAAGTCTTTTTTTCTCTTTCTTTGACCAACTTCAAAACGCATTATATTATTATAACCCAAGTCTGTTGGGAGGTTCATGGATGTCACGGGGTCTGTTCCCACAGGTTGCACCTAGTGGGGACTGTCTTTCTTCGCGGCCCTGATCCTCTGGGTCGGGCAGGACCGCCTGCACCTAACTCTGGCAGGTCTCGCACACCCTCCTTCTTCCACGGTCCAACCAATCCCACAGACCCTGAGCGCTGGCGGGGGAGGAGGAGCCCTGGGGGAACTGCTGACCCTTTGGGAGATCATATTCTGCCAAGTCTCCGGCTGGGAATAGGCCCGGAGGAGGAGCCGGCGGGGCCCCTGAAATAGCGCGGGAAACCGGAGCTCCAGCAGAGAGCGGAGCAGGACAAAATTAGAAGACGTGGAAATCCCTAACCGAGGGAAGCTGAGCCGCGCGGGTCCCGGTCACAACCGGCCAATGGAGCCCCTGCAGCGCCTGGCGGGATAGGGTGTCAGCGGCCTTTGACTGATGGCCAAGCCCCAGCCTTCCTCTGGGCGGCCCAGGCTGGGGATGATTCTAAGGGCAGGCTCCGCCTCGCGTGCAGCTCTGTGCCCGTGGCCCGGCTTGCAGCAGCAGAGCTCCGTGGTGGTTTCTGCTGCAGAGGAGCCGCGTCTCGTACCCGCGCCGTGCTTACCTGCCGGCAGCCAGCGCCCGGCCGCCCAGCCCTGCAGGGCGCGCAGCTCGGCCTGCGTCCGCCGCAGCTCCTCCAGCAGTGCGCCCGGCGCCTCTGCGCCCTCCAGGCGCGCCAGCCTGCGGCCAGCGTCGCGGCTCGCCTGTAGCAGCTCATCCAGCGCGCCCTCCAGCCGGGCCTCCGCGGGGCACGGCCGCGCCAGGCCTCCGGCCAGCCGGCCCAGCTCCGCGCGCAGCCTCTGCAGCTCGCCGCGCAGCAAGTCGTCGGTGGCCTGCAGCAGCATGCCCTCGCGCATCTGCGAGTTCTCCAGCATGATGAACAGCTTGTCCCACTCCGAGTGCTCCCGGCTGCAGTCGCACGGCGTGGCTAGAGCGGGACACACAGGTTACCGCCAGGTCTCCGTTGGGAGTGCTCGGCGAAAGCCGACCTCCCTAGGTGGTCCCCGGGCACAGCCTGGTCCCACCCAGCACCCCGCTTCCTTTTGAGGACCGTAAAACAGCACGTAAATATCTCAAAAATGAAGGAAACCAGTCCCAGAGAGTTTAGGTTGAACTCTAGGAAATTGCCGTTTTTGCAGCTAGAGTTAGCCAAATGTCCAACTCACGATGTGTCTGCTGCAGAAAAAAACTTTCGAAACCTCCCGCTTTCCTCAAGTATCTCTCCCTTTTGCAAAAGCAAACAATCATCTTTAGCTTGTTCCCTTAGCTACAAAGTATATGTACCTTATTTAGACCAAAAGGAGCGCGATAGGTAATTGGGGTTAGCAGAGAAAGTTGAAAGAAACTTACGGTCCTCAGTGGGGTGGAGTCCGTTGAATATTTCGTTCTCCATGTTCACATACATGAGATCATAATCATCCGAGTTCTCGGCCAACGCTGCAGCGCAGACGGCGCAAAGCAGAACCACAGGGAGATGCATTGCGGGAGGAGACCAGTTCTTCCCTGGCTGGCGGGAGGGGAGCAGGCAGGGGCTCCGGTGAGGGAGAGCGGGGAGTGAGAAGGAGAGCCTGCGCCAGAGCTTAATAAACCCTGCGAAGCCTGAATGGGGATGAGTAATGCCGGTGGCACCGCACCACACCAGAGTTCCCCTGGATTTGGGGGAGGGGGCTGGATGGGAGGGCGAGGGGGACGTGGAAGTTGCGCAACATTAAGCCACAAAGTTTACACTGCAGTCAGAGGAGGGTCAGAGGGGAAAGAAGGGAGAAACCCGGCTTGACAGTCCCCCTGAGGATTCCCTGTTGTAACTTGAATTGTTAGCACCAGGGATGAGGGGGCGGGGGAGAGACGTAACTCAGCGGGAATGGAGGTGTGAATGCAAATAATCATTTCGGCATTTGGTGTGAGTTTTTATTATTTCACAACCATTTACAGAAAACTTTTTTTTTTCACTTGTCCTTTGGACACTTTTCCGCTATGAAAATGGCTCTCTGATTCCAAGATAAACCAACCCAAAGAATTTCTCTGACTCTAGAAGCCAAGTTGCTTCTGAGTTATCTTGTCTTTAATCCTTTAGGAGTTGAAACTATACTTTTACAAACACATTTTAGATAGCAGGCACAGTACAAATGGGTAAGCCTAAAATGGAACGGAGCTGGGGGAGAGGGTATAAAATGGCTTTAGGCATGTTTCTTTTCATAACCTAGTATTACATGGACGTTATGTTATTCTGTGAGGCTTAGAGGAAAGGATCATATGATAAAAGTAAATTTAGTAACTCCTTCTGACAAAATATGGAGAACTATGACAACTGAAAAGCCTCCTGTAAAAACATCTAGCAACAAATTTTAAAAATCTAGAAATGTGTTTACATTATAATAATATTAATAAAAATTTAAAACATTTAGATGGGTTCCAAAGCCAGATGGGTGTTACACTACACGCCTGTAATCCCAGAGACTCAGGAGGCTGAGCAGAAGGATCACAAGGTCAAGGTCAGCCTGGACCATTTAGCAAGACCCTATTTCAAAGAGAGGGGGGTGGGGGCTGAGGATGTAGCTCAGTGGTAAAGTGCTCAATAAAGTAAGAAAACTATCCAGTACCAGAAGGGCAGGGGCAGGGTCAAGGAGGATGGGTCATCAGCCCTAAGCAAGTGTAGATGACTATGTGGGAACAGAGCTGGGGCAGAGGATGGGTTGTTAGATGTGAGACCTTCCTAGGGCCAGGACCCTCAGAGGTCTACAGATTAGACTTCAAGGGTAAAACCCCACTCTGCCCAAGCATATGAAAACAGGAATCAAGTGTGGCTCTCTTCCACTGAACCCTACAAGACACCTAAGGGTTGATGACTTTGAGCCTCAAATGTTTGGATTGCAGAGGCATACCATCTGCCACAGTAAAAAATGATGCACAATCATGGATATTTCAACATGTGGGGGAATGAACCATCATACCTGAGAAATCAACAGAGCCAAAACAGTAAAACACCTCTCCTAATAACTTCATTTATTTAAAATCTCAGCTCAAAACTAGAAAATAAGTTTAAAATTATTCCAAGAACTAAAAGAAGGAAGTAGGAATATGAGAAGGAATAAGATATTGTCACACTGATTGACGCACACCTGTAATCCCAGCAGATCCTGAGGCTGAGGCAGGAGGATCCTAAGTTCAAAGCCACCTTCAGCAATTTAGTGAGGCCCTAAGCAATTTAGCGAGACCCTGTGTCTAAATAAAAAGTGGCTGGGAAGGTGGCTCTGTGGTTAAGCACCCTTGGGTTCAATTCCCGGTACCAAAAAAAGTAAAAGACTAGGTAGGTTTTCTTAATAATTAAATATAACTTCTAAAACTTAATAAACTAATAGAAAATTTTAAAAGTGTGCAGAATTGATTAAAAGGCAAATTGGTCAAAGCTAAAGAGAGTATTAATGACCTGGAAGACAGACATAAGAAAATAAACCAAAATACACTCATTTTTCTGTTTGGTTTCTGAAATCCTTTCAATGTTTGTTTAGGGGTATGATTTATTAAAAAGTTAATTTTTTCTTTGCTCAAGACTGTTTGTTGTAATTTTTAGGACAACCTCCAAAACCAAAAAGAAATAGATGTCCAAATACAAAGAATAGAGATAATTAAAAACAAACAAAAACAACCCCAAACCTCTTTGATCTATTTAATAGAACATTAGAGGAAAGAAAGGCTCAGAAAAATCAAGATCCACAAAAAGCACAATAGGATGTGGCTAAAAACAAGTCCAAATAGAACGATAATCACCACAAATGAAACATTTTTTTCCTTAAGAGACAAAGGTCATCAGATAGGAATATTTTGAAAATTCAACTATATGTCACTGTCACTTCTGATAGAGACCAACATCTAAGACATAAAAGAAATGTTGAAAGTTAAAAAATAAAATAAAATGGAAAGGAATGAAGGTAACCTATGAGGCAAAAAGAAAAAAAGAACTGTTCAAAACACCAGTACAGCTGTGTTACTATCTGGTAAAACAGATATCTAGGGTAGTGGCACAATTGAAAACAAGGATAGTCTCAAAGGATAATTAAATAAAATTATGATTAACAAAACACTTCACACTTGGAAGTATCTAGTAACATTTTAGAAAATATATACCAGAAATTGACAGAATTATAAAAGAAATTAACAAATCGCTGATCATAGAGGGAGAAGTTAACAAAATTGGTGAATTCATCTGTGGCTATAGGACACAGAAACTTCAACCATAAATTTAGAAGTTGTTGTAATAAAGTATACAGTGCCTGACAGTTTGATAGGCAATTTCTACCAAATATGCAAGGGACACATAATCCCCATCTTATTCTAAGTGCTTCTGATAAGAGAATGTGCAGGAATGTGCTAAATTCATCTCATATGTCTTAGTACTTTTTGTGTGTGTGTGTGGTGCTGGGGATTGAACCCAGGGCCTTGTGCATGTGAGGCAAGCACTCTGTCAACTGAGTTATATCCCCAGGCTTAATAATTATGATATAATTAGTATAATTATAATACCCAAAAGAGAATGGACATTATTATAGAGGGATAGTGAGGTGATCTCATTTAAAAACATAGATATTGATACTATATATAAAGAATATAAAGAATATCCAAACAAACACAGAAATGTATGCATAAAATACATCATAACTAAGTTGAGTTTAATCTGAGATTGCAAGATGATTAATCTTAGACCATCTATGAGTTTATTACATTAGCTGCTTCAATAAGAATCATATGATCATGTCAACAGATGGGAAAAAGCATTTGATAAAATTCAACCCTCAAATCAAACTAGAAAACAGATGGGAACTTACTTAGACAGATAAAAATACCAAAACTGTTAGGTTCCCATCAATGGGACATAATACTTGAGAAAAATCAACTCAGTAGAGGAAAGATTTATTTTTGCTCACGAACTCAGAGGTCTGGGTCCTTGGTCACTGTGCACTATTGCTTATGGGCCCTCAGTGAAGCAGAACATGATGGCGGGGAGGGTGTGGTAGAGCAAAGCTGCTGACCTCGTGGCAGAGAGGAGGCAGAGATAGAGAAAGGGGCAAGGGACAAGATATGCCCTTCAAGGACATGCTTCTATGACCTACTTCTCCAACCAGGCCCCACCTCCTGAAGCACCTATCACCTCCCAGTACCACCACAGGCAGACAAACAAGCCTTTAGTACATGGCCTTTGGGGGACATTTTAGATTCAAACCATAACAAAGACCAACACAAACAGATACAAATAGGACTGTAAATTATAAAAGTATGTTTCCTTGGAAAGGTATTTGTTAAAAACAGGAATAACATAAGGGTGCTCAGGGATGTGGCTCTACTCATTGGAGAATAAGAGATTCCAGCCAGTGAGATAGGACGTCAGGACGTGAGATGAAAGAACATAAAGATGGAAAGAAAGAACCTCTCATCAATCATCACGCGTTGATTACCCACACGCAGAAAACCCATAAGACTTAAAAGACATTATTAATAAAAGAATTGAGCAAGCTTTGCTAGATGGAAGAGCAACATACAAAAAAATCTATTGCTTTCTTAATACTAGCAGATAAATTGAAAATATCCTTTGGTGGAGAAAGCATCCATTTATAGTAGCAGCAACATATGTAGGATACCTCGGCATCAATTTAATAAAAGATACATAAGGCAGAGCCAATATTACAGCCCTTTCTTGAAAGACATAAAAAATATCTACACAGATGGAAAGATAAATCATATTCTTGAATGGAAAGACTTAGTGTCATGAAGATGTCAATTATACCAGTCTATATATTCAATATGGAAAAAGAATCCAAGCCTATTTTTGAAGGAAGTTGATAAACTGTTGCTAAAATGTTTATATAAGTCATCCAAGAGGAATTTAAAGAAGTAGAAGGTGAGGAAATTTCCCCTATCATGATTTATTATAAGGTTATTGTAATTAAGAAAATGTGGAATTGATGAGTGGTAGAATAGCCCAGAAACAGACCCAGCAAGTATGCAAAACCTGGCATATCAAAGAAGTGCTGCAGATCAGAAAAGCAATGCTGGCCACTCTGTAAGAGGTGCTGGACAACTGTTCTTACACAAAGAAAAAACTAGAATCAGGTTCTTTCCTCATATGTACAAAAGCAAATTCCAAATAGATTAAAGGGTTAAAAAATGCTTTTAGGAGAAAATATTTTTGTGAACCTGAAAAAGCTTTCTCATTAACTACACAACAAAAACCTCTCATAAACCATGAAATTAAAAATTGAAAAACAAACCAATTTAAGATTGCTACTTCAAATTGATAAACCAACAAATAATTATCTCCCAAATAAGTAAAAATTTTTCTAAAAATTCATAAGAAAAACACAAACATTCCAATAGAAAGTACAGAAAGGATATGAATGGCTAAATCACAGGAGAGGAAATGACTGGTAAATACACTTTAAAAGGGTGCACAACTCACAAACCATTAAGATGAACACCAAAAACATGAGATATGATCTTGCACCCCCATCAGATTAGCAAAAGCCAGGGAAAGCCAGTGGCCATCAAGATCAAATGCTGGGAAGGAAACAGAGCCACAGAAACACCAGTGCTGCTGGTTGGAATGGAAATTCCCATAATCCTGGTAGTAGGCAGAATAATGCCCCCCAGAATGTGCACATTTCATCCCTGCAACCTGTACACATTAGACAGAATTGGTATGTAAAACCATCCAGATTATCCAGGCGGGCTCAATGTAATCGCAGGGGTCCTTAAAAGTGAAAGAGGGAGCCAGATGGGGTGGCTCATGCCTGTAATCCTAGTGGCCCGATAGTCTGAGGCAGTAGAATAAAAAATTCGAAGTCAGCCTCAGCAATTTAACCAGGCCCTAAGCAACTTAGTGAGACCCTGTCTCAAAACAAAAAAATAAGAAGGGCTGGGGATATGGTTTAGTGGTTAAGTGCCCCTGGGTACAAAAAATATATATGGTGGGGGGGGTGGGCTGGAGACGAACACAGGTATGTGCTCAGTGTCTCAGGATCCACAAGGAACCAAGCCTTGCCTGCAGTTGGTCTTCACCTGGTGAAACTCATGTCAGACATCTGAACTCCATCGTCACTCTAGTTTCTTACACAACTATAGAAAACTAACACCATGGCTTTACAAAAGAAATTCAGGAACATCTATAAACTGACATTCCAGGGGCACACCACCATCTTGCTGATGAATTATGTGGTCCAGGGGACTGTGAACTTCACCTGAGAACATTCTAGAAATTCAGAAATGCTTCCTGATTAAAAAGAAAGTGTTAATTTGTGAGTAAAATTTATAGGATCTCTATATCTAGCTGTCTTCATCAGTCTGGTCCAGAAAAGGTCTTCTGCATTGATTTTTGTATTATTTGATTAAAATTGAAGTCAGCTGAAATGACTAATCTCGGGATTTCCCCTTCAACACTCCCCGGGCCTTTAGCCAGCACTATACCAAAAGCCATGGCAGTTTCCCGTCCTGCAGTCCAGCTGCAGTCCATTCAACATGACCTCACTCATCAGTTGATCAGAGTATATACACAAGTGCATTCTAGGACCTGATGTGTTCCGTACAGATGGTGTACTGCATTAAAACTTCCTGACCCTTTAAAGAGAAGCTCTTAGTAAAAACAAACAGCAAACAAACAAAATAAGTTATTTAAAATCACAATGTTGAAACTAGACTCTGATAAACACAACTTCTTTTAAAGAGAGAGAGAGAGAGAGAGAGAGAGAGAGAGAGAGAGAGAGAGAAGGAAGGAAGGAAGGAGACTGAGTATTTCTACTCACCTGTACTGTGGCCATGTTTGAGATTAATTCTATGAAGTGCATATGGAAAAAGCAGCTCTTGTTATTTTTTTATACATTTGGTTTTATCCAGAGTTACCCTTTCACTGAATGTAAATATTGATATTCTGAAAATCCTAGCCATCTTTCCTTAATGCTTGTAACTAAATGTCTCTTATATGTAAGGTTGTTCCCAGTACCTAATGAAGGGCTGTATGTTTCATTTCTGCTGATCTGAGTCTTTCTGGGTAGGTCTCCTATACACAAAGCCAAGTTTAAAGTAAAAGTAAACAGAGCCAAGACAACTCTTGTTCAAGAGATCCCTAGAAACCAATCCCCCAAGACACTTAAGTACTTGAGAGGATTTTGAAAAACAAAAAATCCATACCATAAAGCGATAAGCAGATGTTTCCCATGTGTCGTTTGCAGATCAGTCCCTGCAGCTTATATGACCTTTTTCTCTTGAAATTTTGCCATTTTAAATGCAGTTATCTTGTATGTCTTTGAGGCAAAACACATGTGACAAACAAGCTGAATCTAAACTGCTCTTGAAATCGTGCAGAAATTGGGGATTTAAATTTGCAAGGCTACTTTCTAACCTCTCCAGGGCATAGTTTCCAGATCATTCTTCTGATGCTTCACCTTTGTGGCTCAGGAATGTGGGCACATTCCTCTGCACGCCTTTTTGGTTCAGTTTCACAGAGTTTCCCAGGTTCCCTCTGTGACCCTGCTGGCTTTTCACTTCAACATCAAGGATTCTTGATCAGAGCCGTTTCCTTCTCAAGGATGTGGTCTGTGACTGTCCCTCAGGTGGCATGACTTGGGGAAACTGTTCATAAGGTAATAATGCTGATTATATCACAAGGTGTTTCCTTTTAGGGTATCAGTTTAAATCAAGCTTTAAGTGATTTTTGAGAACAAGATGCTTTGTGATTTTGTGTGTTTGTTTTTATACCAGGGATGGAATCCAGGGGCGCTTAACCACTGAGCCCCATCCCCAGCCCTATTTATTTGTTTGTTTGTTTGTTTGTTTTGGAGACAGGTTTATCTAGGGCCTCCAACTTGCTGAGGCTAACTTTGAACATGCGATCCTCCTGCCTCAGCCTCCCAAGTTGCTGGGATCGCAGGCGTGTGGCGATGCTGTGTGTTTTCAACAGAAGTGGTGGCTGGGGTCTGTACTATTGCGTGTGTGAGTACAGAGGAGTTGCTTTGGCAATGTGGCATTTCTGTGGTTGTGAGCTGGTGACATCGCCACTCCCTTGTGTCTCCTCCACAGGAAACACCATGTTGCTGAGGGTGCTGCCTGCCGTGTGTGAAGAGCAGCCTCAGCCCATCCACCGACACCTGACAGGGCTCCTGGCCTTGATGCCTCAGCTGGAGCAACCAGAGCAGTACCATCTCCTGCGGCTTCTGCACGTGGCAGCAAGGAGGCGACAAGTGGAGGTAAGAAGTGTGTTCAGACACCGTGGTCCACACAACCTGCACGGTTCCGGATGGTGGGACAGGATGTGAGCGCAGTGTTCCCTCACCCATCTCCAAAGGAAGGCCTTCACCTCCTTTTACGAGCACATGTAAGTATACACACACGTGTATTTGGTGAGGAACTGGCTCATGCAGTAATGAGGCCAAGCTGTCCCATCTGTTGTCTTAAAGATGGAGACCCAGGAAAGACAGTGACGCAGTTCAAGTGCACACTCCTGAGAACTGGAGGACCAATGGTGTCCAGCCCTGTCTGGGGGCAGCTGAACACCAGTGTTCCTGCTCAAGCAACAAGGCAGAGCCACTCTCCCTTCCTGCAGCTTTTTGTTCTGTTTAGGTCCCCAACCATTGGATGGTGCCCTCCTTCGATGGAAGGGCAATCTGCTTGAGTCAGTCTACCCATTAAAGTGCTGATCATGTCCCAAAATATTTTCACAGGCCTTTCGGAAATAGCGTTTATGCAAATATCAGAGCACCTGAGACCCAGTCAAGTGGACACATAGTTAACCACCACAGGTAGTAAAAGTCACCAAGTGCAAACTTGTAGCCATTGTAGGATGACTTTCCTGTCAGTCTAACAGGGCTACATAGGATGCCTCTTTTACCCCTGGAGCTACTGCTGACCTGGAGGACACCCAGAGAGGAGCTAGAGGGTGCCAGGAAGGAGGAAGTGGAATTGGATTCTGAAGGAATCCAACACGCATGCTTAGCCAAGATGGATGGTGAACCCCAGGCTATATCAATTACGGTGGCACCTGTGCTCCCTCCCCCTAGAGTGTCAATATTTGGCTTCAGGGGATGGGTGGGTGCAGGCAGTCATTTACCGTGGACAGCATATGGAAGGGACGCTTAGGAAATGACCATGTGAGTATAGGCTGCCAATTCAAAAAGGGCAGAGAAAACCAGGAGAGTTAAAAAAAAAATACACACACACACACACACACACACAGTAAGAATAAAGAAATGGAAGGTGTGTAAAGAAATATTAGAAAGGACAGGGTGCTGGAGGAAGCTAGGGAAAGTGTTCCAGGGTGCAAGTGGAGAAGTAGGTTTCAGAAAGGATTAAGGATGAAAGGAGGGTTGAAGGTACAGTGTGGGTGAGGAGTGGCCTGGAGGGTCACTGGTCCCCTCAAGGGAGGCCACTGAGTGGACTCCCAGGGGAGGTGCATTCATCAGCTACTGGAGCTATGATAAAGCACACCAACTTAGTGGTTTAAAGCAACACGAGTTTTTATCTTTAGAACTCCGCAGGTCAGGATCAGCGGGGCTGATTCCCTCTGGGGATCTGGGCATCTGTTGTCCTTTCTGACTTCCAGATGTGGCTGGTGTTCCATGGCTTGTGCCTTCAACTCTCATCCCTGCTCTTCTCATCCTGTCTCCATCTCTGCCTCTGGTACCCTCTTCTCCCTCCCTCCTAGGAGGATGCTTTTGGCCACTCGGGGGCTGTCCACATACTTCAGGCTAATCTGCCCATCTCAAGATCCTTAACTTTATCCCATCTACAGAGTTCCTTTGGCCACACAAAGTAACACACATGCAAGTTCTGGGGACTGAAACATGGATATCTTTGGGGGACCATTATTCTGTCTGCCACAGGAGGAGCCTGGGGAACAGGTGATATGGGGAGAAGGGACGAGTGACCCAAAGTCCAAACGTGGCTTCACAGACACAACTGGTGTGCCATTCTATCTGTGCATTGAGAGCAGGAGCAAAGCACACATCGTGGGGTGGGGGGGGGGGGGGGTTCAGGAGAAGTTCCAGAGGGATCTGAGGAGCGGATCATAATTCAAGTTGTTTCCCAGGGGTAAAGGCTGGATATGAAGGTAAATGAAGCCAAAAGGAGGCTCACTTAAAGGATGAGGAGGGAAAAGGGCTGGGGGCCACCCACCCAATATGGTGGGATGCAAGAGAGAGAGAGGACACCCCCCACCATGGTACTCTAGGAGCTTCCATCCAAACGCTGTGCTGCCCAGAGGCCCAGGGAGGGCTTATGAGCCCTGTCCTCACAACCTCCAGAAGGTTGTCCTGGATGAACTCTCAGGCCACTGAGCCTTAACATCCATGCTTGCTACTCTTTCCTAGCTGTTCCAGTCCTTTAGATGGCAGCTAAAACATGCCGTGACTCTTCTCTGGCTCCTTTCTCCCTCCGTTCCCACCATAGCAGAGTTTCACATTGTAGTGAAGTTGTCTGTACTGACCCCTCTCCTCTGGGCCACCTTGACCCAGGCAGGTGCTTTAGACATGAGAACCTCCTGATCATCCCACATCCCCAGGGCTGGTACTGCACCTGGGGTGGACACAGAAGTCCTTTCATGGCTATTTGCTACATGGATGAGTTAGTATTAGTGCCTAAATCTGTGGGGAACTTGATCATTTTCAAGGCCTTTTTATTTACATTTAATATCTCATTAAATCCTGCAAATAACTCTGTGATGTGTTATTTCCCCCCCTGTTTTTTGTTGGTCAAAATGGATCCTATGCAAAATAAACTTGCCCCTCATCACCTGTGTAGTAAGCATTGAGACAGGTCCAGGGCTTTGAAGCCAGACCCTCTGGCTCCAGCTCCCTCCTCTCCTGGCCTAGGGAGGTCATTGAGTCCCTTCCACTTGAGAAGCTGCGAGGGGGTTCTCTCAGCGCTGGCCCTGGCCGACAAAGGGCACTGATAGTGGCTGAGCTCATGCCATGTACCAGGCCCTGTGTGGGTGTTCTGCAGACATTACCTCATCCATTCCCCACAACAAGCTTTTTATTTTACACACGGAAAAGCCGGAGTTTGGAGAGATTACCAACAGCGGTGGAGACAGGGAGTGGCTTGGCGAGGTGGCTTTTCACACATGCCTCAGTCTTATCAGCCAGACCAGTTTTTATCTGGGTGATTCCATGTCTTTCTCCAGTCAGAATAGCCTCCCCAAAACCACCCCCTACAGACAATCGGAGTCTGACGCTAGTGAGGTGACTCCCAGAGCCAGATAGGTGAGGCCCAGTGACAGCATAACCTAGTCTGGTTCCAGCCAATGGAATCTCTCAACACTAAAAGGTTGAGGGGTCGGGCTGCAACGTATGGAGCAGGTGGGTGTTCCAGGGAAGTTGGTAGAAGGCGCAGGGCAGTGACAGTCCGAGGGCAGGCTAGACAAGAGGAGGAGGAGAGCTGAAGGCAAGAGGAAAGGGTGAGTACAGACTTGGGTGGGCATTGTGGGTGCTGAGTGTGAGTCCCGGGACCAGGAGGCCAGGGTTTGGAGGCCCCTGCGGTGACATGTGGGGACTCTGCTGTTCAGCATCCTTATAGGTGCAAGAGTCGCAAAGGGAAATAACGGCCCTGCTGGTCTCCTGTGGGCCTTCCCTTCACATGCAGGCTGCCCTCACCTGCCCCTTAGCCCTTCTGCAACTCTCTGGGCCTAAGCTGCCACAGGCCGTGAGATGCAGGAGTGGCCGGTTCAGCTCCTCTCCCCTCTGTCCTTAATTAGACAGTGGGCAAGGGGACAGGAGGAACTGTGGAGGCAGGGCTCACTGAGAGAAGAAAGTGAGTGAGTGGTAATAATCAGAAACACAGACTGCAGCCAGGCACAGTGGCCACACCTGGAATCCCAGTAACTCAGGAGGCTGAGGCAGGAGGATTCGAGTTCCAGGACATCCTCAGCCACTTAGTGAAGCCCTAAGCAACTTAACAAGACCCTGTCTCAAAACAAAACACACACACAAAAAGAACTGGAGAGTTAGCTCAGTGGTCAAGCACCCCTGGGTTCAATGGCAAAATCCCCAGTACCTAAAAAAGAAAAAGAAAAGAAAGAAAAAATAATGCAGACTGCTGCTCTCAACTTAAATCCAGTTAATTTCACTTCAGGCAAAATAAGCAGCTAAACAGGGAAGGCTTTGACCCTGTGAGACTGTGATTAAAGTGGAACCTTGATTTCCGAGTAAGACAACTACCGACTCTCAGAGGTAGATGGTGTGGGCCTGTAGATGGGAAATGTGCAGGTTATTTCCTGTTTCCTTTTGGCCCTTCACACCACCCACCCTCTGACAAGAAGAAGACAGCCCTCTAGGTCTGGAGGGTCAAGAGTAGACCCTGGAAAGATGTTCTTTACGTAAGCTGGTGGGAGAGCTTCAGCACCCCCCCCATGTTGAACTCTGGGCTGTGGTTGGCTGGGCAGGGGGACCCCATTCTTCATCTTGGCCTCTGGGCCCTTCTTTTCAAGAAACTATTCTTCCCATGAAGAGAGGCTTCCCTGCTCATGAATTATGGTTGATAACGCCAGAGAACCCTCGGGATCCATTTCTGGGAAAAGGCTGGGCAGTCAGTTTTCCAAGTGGCCCTGATGAGAATCAACGCTGTCTGTTCTTGGCCGTCACAGCCCTGCCACAGTCTAGCCAGCAAAAGGAACAGCCTCTAGCATGTGTGTGCACCTCTGTTTTCCTCAGGACGTGACCCTCTGAAGGGTGGTGCAGCCCCCTGTGGAGTGACGCTCAGACCCAGAGGAGCTGCGGGGGTGGCTGCGGGGGTGGGGGGGTGGCTCCCTGCAGAGAGAGGCTTCTCACCAGGCAGCTAGAAAATTCCTCCACGCACTCCCAGTTCTGCAGCTCCTAACCGCGCTGCGGGCTCAGGTCAGCCTGGATGTTTATTTAAAGTGAGAATTCATCCACGGAACCTCAAGAAGAAGGAGCCATGGAGTACATGGACCTCTCTCAAACAGCCCTTGGAGCCGAGCCCTGGTTGTCAATGACATGTTTTTTCATTGTGGTGGGAATGACTCATAAAGGAAAGGGTGGCAATCATTTTGTAGATTTCTTGAGATTAATGAATTTAATGCCAGTCAAACTGATTGAGAGAGAAAGTTTGGCTTCAGGGTTAATTTAAGAGGCAGTGTGAGAGTGCCCACGTGTCTCCCTTTTACTCTACACACAGGAATATAAATGTCTTTCACTGCCAATTAAGTTATGGCATGGTCTTCAGAGGACCCTGTCCTTAAGGTGCCCAAGGCCTGGAGAGATGAATCCACAAAACTTGAACTCAATGACTGAACACTAAGCTCATGAACAGCCTCATGTAGAAGCACAGAAAAGTGGGCCATGATCATAGCCGTCCAGGCTGGGGCCCTGTCCACTAGCTGTGGAGGGCTCTGGTCTGCCCTCCCTCTCATGCCCCATCCCTACCCACTCACTGACTCCAGATGTCACAGTTGGAATCTGGAATGTCCCCCAAAGGCTCGTCCCCAGTGCAACAAAGGTTCGAGCTGGGGTTTTGAGGAGTGATTGGATCATGAGGGCTCCGACCTCATTGGTGGATTAATCCATTGGTGGATCAATAGTTTGATGACATTATTGGAGGTGGTAGAAATTTTAGGAGGTGGGACCAAGTTGGAATAGGTCACTGGGGACATGCCCTGGTGACTTGTTCCTGGCCCCTTTTCTCTCTTCTTCTCCTTTTCTCCTTCTTCCCAGCTCTCCTCCACCACACCCTTCCACCATGATGCTCTGCCTCACCTCAGGCCCACAGCAGTGGAGATGCCAAGCATGGCCTGAGACCTCTGAGACCATGAGTCCTCATAAACTTTCCTCCTTCAAGTGGTTCACATCAGGTGTTTTGGTTACATCGAGGCAGTGCTGACTGACACACAGCTGGCCGTAGCCCTGGACTGTTCCTGGACAACACAGGCCTGCTTTCATCAGTCATATAGGCCTGGGTGCTCAGGCCTGTCCAGAGGGCCTTCAGAGGACAAGCCATGCCAGCAATGTGACCTGTATTTCTGAGGGGTGGCTTAGGTGACCTTCATGTGTGAACCAGGATGTTCGAAAAGACAGAAGTAGGAAGAGAGGGGCAGGGGCAAGGTAGGCAGGGTCAGAGGCTGAGGGCCAGAGCTCCATTCCCTCTGCAGAGCCCCAGATTACACTTCAGACCAAACAGCCCAACGGTTTCACGGCAGGTTTGCCAGTTTTGTGGAGCAGGGAAGCATTTGGGCGTGTGATATGCACCTCTAGTGGGAGTCCAGCCCAGGTCCTGAGGGGGTGGGTGGACCAGAGGGAAGATGGAATTTGGAATTATGGTATATCTGTGTTCAGGCACTGTGGTGCCAGTGCCTTGCAGTGGGGCCTCGGGGAAAGGCAGAATAAGTACCCGCTGGTAAACATGCTACATGGCTGTGACCTTGCTGGATCGACCTTGGGCCATGAGAGAGCTTTGAGGTCTCTCAGGGAGGTCATGGGATCAGATTGGGGTTTTAGAATAGTTCCCTGATGGCGCTGAGGAGAATAGAAGGCAGAGGCTTGGGGCAGGAGGCCAGCTTGGGAGCTCCTTCCACGACTCAGGAAGGGGCCCTGTGCCATGCCAGCTGCCTTCTCAGCCATCTATGTCTCAGTGGCAGCTCTGTCTGCAGCAATATGGGGCCCTCTCTGATTCATGCAGCCAGCTCCCCAGGAGGCCATACTGAAGACCCAGCCCACGGACGTGCCAGGTGTTTGGAAAATAAAGTCCTCCTAATCTAGGAATAATCTCTCTAAAGCCCAAAGCACCACTTTTCTTTCATGTGTGTGATAAACTAAAAGCATCCATCTTTTTTACCACCATCTTAATTTAACGTTGGACTATTAGGAATTCAAAGCAAAATAATCAACTTCTGGTTTTTGGTAAAATTGTTATTGCTTTGTTTATAAAATTCAGAACGTCTCTTCTGTGTCCAGCTGTCTGTCTGTATATGCCCTGTGTGTGTGCCCCCTTTCCTTTCTTCTTTTCTCCTTTTTTTAAAAAAAAAATCTTTTTTAATTGTAGGTGGATACAATACCTTTATTTTATTTATATATTCTTTAATGTGGTGCTGAGGCTCAAAGCCAGGGCCTCACATGTGCTAGGAGAGTGCGCTCCACTGAGCCACAACCCCAGCCCCCCTCCTTCCTTCCTCTTTTACTCTATGAGGCTACAGACACATCCGACTCTTGTGAGGTTTGTGATAGATGGGCTGAAGTTTAAATTAAAAAATGAAGTTAGCGAGGTTACAAACGCGTGTCGCAGAGCCCTCTGTTCCAGGAATAAGTACTCTCTGTTCCAGGGGTGAGGGATGGGAGATGGAACTTTTGGGGAGGGGCCAGGAAATGTGTGAGCATTTTCCATTCCTGAAGGCCTCGGTTAGGTATATTGCCTGACCTGCAGCAGCTGGCTGACACTTGTGCCCTGTGTGCCCAGGTGGTGTCTCTGCAGGACACAGGCCCTCCCAGATGCACAGGCAACGTTTAGAGGTCACTTGTGCTCCTCACCAGGAACTCGCCCTCTCCTTTCCTCCCAAGTGCTGGATATGACAGGAAGTTTCCATCTACACTCAGGGTCCTAGTTATCCAAGAACTGTCTTTGTCATGCCCTGTAATGTTACATGTGACTCATGACAGCAACTGTGTTTAATTAACATTTCAACAGCTCTGGATGGGAGTGATATTCTATTCAATGCTATCCAGAAAATTAGATTTGCCTTCCTTTGATTTTTTTTTTCCCCTCAAATATTTACCAACCCACCTTCTGGCCAGGCTGTGCGCTGGGCATTGTAACCACTGGTGGAGCTAACTAGTGGTCTAGACCTGCAATGAGAGGCAGGTGTGAGAAGGACCTGGGCAGAGCCTCAGAGGGCACAGCAGAGCTTCTTCAGGGCCCTAAACTGAGAGGCAAGAGGTTCTGAGGAAGCAGCACTTAATCGAAGGCCTCAAGAATGATCAGGAGTTGATCCAGCAGATAGGGACAACAAGCGTTCCAGATAGAGCAAGCCACAGGGGTAAAACCCCCAAACAAGAACAAGCACAGCCGGTCTGGAAAGTGGCCTTGGCAATTCAGCACAGTGGAAGTGTGATCTGTGATGGGAGGAGAATGCCAGAGGGAGGAACGGTGGGCCAGGAGTTGAGTGAAAAGTAGAGTAGGAGTCACTTCAGAAAAGCCATGTTAAGCTTCCGTCTTGACAGCAAGGTCAAGTAGACAGACTTTAAGAAATGAAGGGAGAGCCTGGCACAGTGGTCACTCTTGAAATCTCAGTGACTTGGAGGCTGAGGCAGGAGGAGCACAAGTTTCAGGCCAGCCTCAGCAATTTAGCAAGGCCCCAAGCAACTTAAAATAAAAAATAAAAAGGTCTGAGGATGTGGCTCAGTAGTTAAGCACCCGAAGTTCAATCCTTGGTACCTAAAAAATTTTCAAAGGGTCACATTTTCGAATATAAATTATTTCATCCTTATACTAATAAAAGCACTGAGAACCAAGAAAGGGCAGTGGTAATATGGTGGAAATCATTTTGCTTTAATAATTTCATCTTCTTGTTTCAAAATGGAAAATTGAAGAAAATGTGGAGCTCTTTCCTCCTTCCTTATTTTTATTATTAATGTTTCTAAGCAGTATGTTGCCAGTTTGAAGGCTTTGAGTAAAGTCACCAAGGACCTCTTTCATACTTACATTAAGTCCTCTGAACTGCAGCTCCCCCAGTTGTTTCAGGGGATGTAACTTTGCTGGGACACAACACATCAAAACTAGATTGACAAGTAGCTGCATCTCAGCATTTTATAAACTGCTCTCTGCAGCACAAGGCTCAGATTAAAAGAAGAAGCAAACAACAGGCCTAGAGATTTTATTGTGAATGTTAGGTTCCGAAGTATAGAGGTTTGCTTCTGTCCCAGCGAGAGTGACAATCCCAGGTGTGCTGAGTTCTGTTTTAATACTCCACATACTTGCTTTGGAAGTTGATTGGGCTCTACTGCTTTTCTTGTTTCTTCACTCGTCCCTCCTCTCGTCTCTCTGTAGGTGGTTCAGAAGTGTGTTCCTTTCCTAATCAGGCATTTGAAGGATGCAACCCACAATGACGTCATCCTAAACATCCTCACAGAGATCTCGGGCTATGAGCCAGCGGCGCTGGACAGCTTTCTTCCAAGGCTGAAGGAGATCGGGGAAAGGTTCCCTTGCCTCATCGGACAGCTGGCCAGGATTTATGGAGCTGTTGGGCTTGTGGATGAAGTAAGTTGGGCTTTTCTCTCCATTTCCCTGAATCCTTCTGGCACTTAAACCATTGGAGCTCCAGAGCCTCCACTTTGTCCTGGGACTTCTGGGTTCCCGTTTCTCTTTCAAACCTTTTAGAGGAACAGTGACCTCTGATTTGAACCTTGTTGGTTATGGGGACAGTTCAGGATGTAAGGACTTCCTTGCCTGGCCATCACCTGAGGAAGAAGGGGGGTTAGGATGGAGAGGGCACAAGGACAGACTCAAATTGCTTAACAGCAGTGGCTCATAAAAGGCTTTATTCCATTTCTAGTAGCAGCTCCACTTAACCTGGGGAACCCTCCATAAGTACAAGATGGGGCTCAGAAACCACCTGCTCCCCACAGCCCATAGCTGTCATGTTAGTGAGGCCTGGCTCAGCATGCTTTGAGCCCTCTGGATGATGTCACTTGGGAGAGTGAAATAAATGTTTGTGGATGTTTAAAAAATCTAGCCTAAATATTTACATAGTGGAATGTTTCAGCGGGGACAAGAGAAGGCCATCAAAGTTTGTGGGGATTAAGTGAGGAAGAAAGTTTCTAGAAATTCAGGTTCTGAGGGTGTGCATGCACATGCACACACAAAATGTGTCTCTCGGATGGTTTTTATATTAGGATTTTGAATTTTTATACCCTTAAGTGCAAATATATCATTGACTGAAGTTTTCATTTAATTCACTTGTGCATAATTAGCTATTAGATAAACACGAAATCATCCAACTTTTAAAAGGAATTTCGTGGTTCATCAAGTTCAATCCCTTGATTCTGTACAAGATAAAAAAATTAGAAACAGAAAGATTATATGACTTACCCACACGTAGACTGAGGCAGTCAATGACCCAGTTGGAGTCAGCTCTTTGATATCCTTAATATTTCTTTTCAAATGTTGTCTTAAAAATGAATCTTTAGTGCCATTCTGTTTTATTTCTGCTGAGAGTTGTGGGAAGCTCATGAGTCCTGGGCTTCCTTCTGATTCAGAACCCCTCTCCAGCCTCCCAGAAGGGGATCACTCGCCCGAGCAGCCCACTCGTGCCATGTGAGATGTCCTGGACAGGGTCCCCTGGTGTGGACTTGCTGCTTAGTGTAATCCCCCCGCTGCTATTGGGATTGTCCTGCACCTCACACCCTCTGCCTTCCGGTGCACTTGCCCTGCCTGGCACCCTGGGACTTGCTGGTGCCAGGAGGACTTGCTGCTGTGTGTTTTGGGGATGCCTCAGCTGTCATCTGCTTGACAGACTCTGCTGACCTTGCAGATCTTTGCAAGGACCAAAAATGCAACCTCTGAGATTGAGACCCTAGAACCTTAAAAAAAAAAAAGCACCTCAATAGCAGTTCTTTTAGTCGCAAACAATCTATGATGCATTAATATGTAGCAATGCATATTGGAGGGGACTACAGCTCCCATGAAAATTGTAATTTAAAAATCTAAAACAACATTACCTACGTGCAGCCCACGACATGCAGTCATGCTGCCGTAGGGGTATCTCAGTGGAGGCTAGCCTGAGAGTGTTCTGGTGGTCACATTCGTGTGACGCTCAGTGGGTGCAGGGAAGGGCAGAGGTACCAAGTTACCTGAGGATATCTGTTCCCTAGGCATCCTTGGGAAAGGGTCCCAGGACCTAAGGAGAACTCTGCAGACTCTCATGTCCTTGTGTAAAATGGCACAGTATTTGCCTAAAGTCCTCATACATCTTCCTGTGTGTTCTACACCCTCTCTATACGACTTATGATACTGACTGTAGTATAAATCATCATCCTATATTGTTTAGGGAATAATAATTTTTGAAAATCTTCACATATTAAGTATAGGCAAAATTTTTTCCAAATATTTACCCATAGTTGGTCAAATACCATGAATGCAGAACCCACAAACACCAAAGGAGGAGAGTGATTTATATCAGAATTCAATCCTGTTTGCTTTTCGCCCTCCAAACAAAATTTTCTGGAAGTTCTGATTGCCTCAACAATCAGCAGAGAACAATTATCCATCAAATAATTGTCAAATATAACTATGTACCAGGATTACATGGGGGAGATTTTAAGTAAGTCTTGGCCCCATAGAATAGCCACTAAATCAAAATCTCCAGGAAAGGGGCCCAGGAATCTGGATTTATGGGAATATCTGCCAGGGCAATTCTGCCATAGCTATTTGTAGATCATTCCTTGGGAACCCCCGACATAGAGGGTTTAAAGGGATAGACTCAGAATCATGCCTTACCCATCACCCATCCTGCCCTCCTCCAGCGAGCTACTATTAATCAATTTAATAATTTTCTAGATGACTGATATAGCAATGTAGACTAGGTTTGGTAGAGAATAACAGAAAAAGCCAACAACAGTGAGTTAAATAGAAACAGGCACCCATTTCTCACACACAATATCCAAGCAGCCATCTGTTTTGAGATCCACATTTCAAAAGCACAGCTTCCTGCCTTCTTAGGCTGCTCTTCCTGAGAACACCTAGGGCACATGGCTTCCAACTCATGGTCCAGGAGGGTACTGTCTCCACCCATAGAATCAGAACCTTAGCGGCAGGAAGGGGACAGGAGGGAGGGACTCTTCCTGACAAATACAACCTTGAGTTCCCACCCCACAGGCTGAGTGTCACATGCACACGAGGGAGGCTGGAACACAGCCTGGATGCAGGAGCTGCATGCCCAGGTTGTGGACAGAAGGGCAGAAGCACTAGTGAAGGATGAGCAGAGGTCTCTGCAGCTGGTCCAGTCATTTAGTTTCTCTGGGTCTATTTTCTATCCTCAAAAACAACAGCATTACCCTGGAATACCTCCCTTCCACCCGGCATTCTTTGATCAAATTAATCCATCTCGTTTAAGACCAGGCTGATAGAATCACCCACAAATGTCAGGGAGCCCCCTTGCTCAGAAATAACACCTGTCTCATTTATTTCTAAGGCCTGCCTTCCTACCATGTGAATGTCCTTTCAAAGCTCAGATGTCCCAAGAATAAATCTAGTTGTCTGAGAAGCTAGTACCTGCTTACCTGAAGTAAAATTTGTTAAACTTTATAAAGAAAAACCTGTGGAGCAATATCCCTAAAGAGCAAATTCAACAGGCGAATCGTACCTGTGTGAGTGTTTCCTATCCAGGTTCTTTGAAAAATCAATAGAAAGTTATGGAGGTACATGGAGAGGTGGGCGTGAAGACAGAAGTCCAGTATGGGGTCCCAGACTCCTATGGGAGAGGAATTTCAACAAAGAGAAAGGCAAAAACTCTTCCCTGAAAACCCCACCACCTTCTGTGTGGAGAGCGTGGGTCGTGTGGAGAGCGTGGGTCGTGGGGAGAGAACGGGCCGTGGGAGTACCTGAGGTGCCAGGTGTTTGGGGATTTCATGAGACAGAGAACCTGAGTGAGCTCTGGTCCCAGGAGCACTGGTCTCATTTTCAAATGTACTCAATTTGAATTTTTTCTCTTTGACACTCTAGTAAAAACGCTTTAGTTGTGAATAGGGGTTCAAAGTAGCAAGTCATTTGTCTGCTGGGATTTAAAAATTTTAGAAATACAGGAAAGTCTTGCCCAACTGTTGAAATGTACAGTTTGGGGCTCATTGGAACCTACTTTGAGACCCCTCCTTTGCTGCCTGGTTTCCAGAAAACTCCCTGGTTTGATCGTTAGGGAGGTCTGCTTAAAGTATGCAATTGCCAATCCAGAGATGGCTGTGGGGTGGGTGGGGTCGGCCGGAGCCATGCAAGTTACATTACCCAGGGCCTGTGTCTCATGCTTTGTGCTTGCATGAAGCCAGATGCAAGAACTGCAGGGCTGGCCACTAGGAGCCTGACCAGACGTGCTGGTCTTTCCAGTCAGAGCCCATCTGGGTGGGCAGACTATTCCCAACAGCTTGATAGCAGCATCATAATTTTCCCATCTGTATTACCCAGCCCAGAAAATTGCATATAAAAAACAAAAGGCAAACTCCTATTTTTCTCTAACCCCCAAATTAACCAAGAGATCTTTTTTGCCCAAGTTTAAACAAAGCTGGGTTTAATGGCTCTGTAGTGTTTGTGTCGCCGTGGGAGACCATGTAATGACTCACAGACCGTCTCCAAGTTTGTGCTTGTACCAAGAACACATCTATTAAATGCAGAGTTCAAGTGAAAGGACCACAGGGCAGAGGCCTGTGCTTCTGGGGCAGCTGAAGTGTTGCCCTTGAGGTGCACCTTTCTGCCTGGTTAAGGTCATGTTTAGCTCTCTATCACCCCTGGACTTGCCCTGCTCCTGTGCCAGACTCAGTTGAAGCAAAATCATAAACAAGAAACAGCATTTTTTGGATATGTCCTAGACATAGCAAAACCACATGGGTCCTTTTGTCTTTCTCAAATGAGGGTATTTTAACAGATACCGCTTGAACATCAGAAATGACTTCTTTGTAGCTCCTGAGAGTCCTCCCCAAACAACTGATCGGAGACATCTTGCACAGGGGCCGGCATATGGCGCATGCTCAATGAACTTCAACTAACAACAGAACAGCAACATGGATATAATAACCCTGCCCTGCTGGAGAGAGCAGCAAGGGAAGAGTGGGCTTCTTCCTGAACCATTGCATATTTATAGTTGCCAGTTTTCTTCCTAAAAATACAGGTGCAATCCCACTTCCACTTGTGAAGTCTTCTGTGGGCTCGCCTACCACCTCCATGACACTATGGGATGCCCAGGGTTGGCCCAGCCCCTCCAGTTTCCCCCCCTCTTCCCTGCCTAGGCTACTCCATGCCCTGCCTTCTGTCCCCTGAGCATCTTGTGCCCTTCCCTGACACACTGTGCTACCTTCAGGGACAGCCCCGACCAGCTCCGCCTCCGTTCCTTGGAACCCTGCCTCCTGTGTGAGTCTTCCTGGTTTCCTCAGGCAAGGTGCATCACCCTTGTCTCTCCCCCAATGCTGGGTTGCACCCCGTGATGTTTCAGCTTCTCTGTGTTATAATTTGTGGATTCCCATCTGTTTTTCCTCCATGAGTCTCTGAGCTTCTAG